CTGAACCTGTGCGTCCGGAGCCTGTGCTCCGCAAGGGGAGAGGCCACAACAGTGGGAGGCCCGCGTACAGCAAAAAAAGAAAAAAAAAAAGCAGCAGACAAAAACAGAATTTTCAAGGAGAAAAAAGGTTAAATTTAAAGAATCTACTCATAGAGTAACTTAAGAGTCAGAAGATGCGAATTCTGGTTTCCATTCTCTCACTAACTTCTTATTTGACCTTGGGCAAATTGTTCCATTTCTCTGGGCTTAGAAGAAAGACTGAAGTTCTAGATCCTAGTTCTGAGTAAATTTGAAGAAGCCACTTTGCTTCTTCAGAAAAAGATTTCCCCCATTCATGGGACTTCCCTGCTGGCACAGTCGTTAAGAATCCACCTGCCAATGTAGGGGACATGGGTTCGAGCCCTGGTCCTGGAAGATCCCACATGCCACGGAGCAACTAAGCCCCTGCACCACAACTACTGAGCCTGTGTGCCACAACTACTGAAGCCCGCACACCTACAGCCTGTGCTCCACAACTTGAGAAGCCACCGCAATGAGAAGTCCGTGCACCAAAACGAAGAGTAGCCCCTGCTCACCGCAACTAGAGAAAGCCCACGCGCAGCAACGAACACCCAACGCAGCCAAAAAAATAAATAAATTTATTTTTTAAATTTCCCCCATTTATAAAGTAACCCGGATTATCTTCCAGCTCTAATAACCTAGAATTCTAAGCTATAAGCTAATGTTGCTATGAACAATGAAATTCAATGTAATCAGTATGTCTGTGTTAGAAACAGGACATGTAGATAAAATATTTGGCAGAGAGAAGCCTCAAACCACTGGAGCTTTCCCCCCAAGTTTCAATTCAAATATTTTTCTAGAACTACACACAAGCACTGGTCCAGACTTGTGCGCTTCCCCTATTCTTAATGAAATGCCCAAAGACTGACCAGAAAAGAATGGGAACCGGCGCTTCCCAGATAATGCAACAATCGAGTCTCTTGGTTGTCTCCCTCTTTTCTACCAGTGCACTTTCCTTATACCATCCACTGTCTGGACTGAGCCAACCTATCTCTTTTGATTTAAATTCTTCAAGGCTCAGTTCAAATCTCACTATTTCCATGAAGCATTCCCTTCCCATTCTAGCCCACATCCATCACTCCCTCTTTTAAACGTCTACAGTACAATACATTGTTGTGGTAGGGATTAAATGATATTTCTAAAGAACTCGGTATCACATGTGACATATAGCAGTTGCTCAAAAAGTGATAGTACTTGGTGTTGTTGCCACATCTTTAGCACTAATCACATACCCTTTAGTTCAGTGCTTCTTAAATTTAATGTGCATGTGAATCACCTGGAGATCTTATTCAAATGCAAAGTGTGACTCAGTAGGCGTCAGGTGGGACCAGATAATCTGCAGTTCAAAAAGCTCCCGGTTGATGCCTATTCTGCTGATCCAAGGACCATAGTTCAAATACAAGAGGAAGTTTTTAGTAAACTTTTTTTTAAAATGTATTTATCTTGTCTATCCAGCCAGATGGAAAGATCTTAGAAGAGAGATACTATGTCTCATTTTTCTTAGCATATATACTCTATACAGAGGTGTGCAATAAACAACTGTGGACTTGTCAAATCTGCAATCTCTCTAGATAATCTCTAGAATGCCTGTAATACTGATTTTCAAATTCAAACACTGAGACATTCGAGGTTGAAAAAGCTCACTTGGTCACTGGAATTGGAATCACTGCAACAGAGGCAGGGGAGAATCTGAGAGAAAACTTACCTCATAACCAGTGAGAAGGTAAAACAGAAAAAACAACATATACAAATGGACGCTTGTTCCTTGTTTAAGCACAAACATCATTAAAATGCAATATTAACTGCACTTCTAATTTAGGTAGGAACCTTGAAAGAAGACATGCATTTTCAGGCATATATATATATATATATATATATATATATACACTAGTAATAATTAACTAAAAAGGTATATAATGAGCTTGATATCACGTTTTAGTGGAACAGAAATATTTTTCAGTGATCCGTTAATGTGCAATTAACCTAAAGATCTCAGGCAACCAATGAAAACACATTTCAAGCAAAAGAAAGAGAGAAACACCCTCCGATTTTCCCATCAACCTGGTCAGTGATAAGATCCCCAGATTCCATTGCCCACAATTACACTACAGAAATTCAAAACAATCTGCTGTGTATCAAGGCTGCTCTAAGACGCTGCCTATTTTAAGCCCTCCTTTAAATCTCCAATCATTTAAATACTTGTTAAACCCTCCGTATTTTAGCATTCCATAATTCAAATGGGACCAATATTCTTAAATTTTACTCGGAGGCTATACTCTGACTTCCTATGCAAGCACCAGGAAAATAATATCAGGCATGTATGACACCTGCTCACAGAATACTATCTAGGTAGCTAAAACTGTGAGACAAATTTATTAAAATCAGTCTTTAGAGCAAAAAGCACCTTTTTAAGTCACTGAGCTTGTCATAAACAGGCATCTGAGCCTTAACTCATAGAGACCTTTCAATAAAGCCACTCACCAATACTTAACTGCAATGTTTTTAACAAATACAGACACCTTAAAAGAAGACAGACTGCAAAATTCTGAGAACTGCCATTAAGCACAGAAACACAGAAGCACAGAACTGCTGTCAAGCACTAGACTCAAACTGGGTTTATGAGTTTTAATAAATCAATGTTATTACTTTAGAGAAAATCAGAAAACAGTTGGGAGTCAGCCTACAGTAAAGTGGCTTCTATTTCTTCGATCCGAAGTCTAGTCTCCTGGGCAAGGCAAGTTCTGTGGTTCGTGCCAGGCAGGCAGTCTTCCTAGAGAATAATACTATCCAAGGAGAGTTTCAAATCCCAAGCCACAGACGCAGTTATAAACGCATACCCATACAAATGAGTGTCTTCCTACCTGCGGGTACCTAACTAGTAATTACACCCAAAACAAATGCCTTCAACAGGAAAGGAGATCAGGACCAGGTATAGGAGGGTCAAGATTCTTGCATAAAAAAATGAAGCACCAATTTCATTCTCATTTCTCCCCTCCTTTTCCCGGTCTTTCTTCAAGACTCATCCTTTGTGAAGCTTTCTCCAATAACTCTGACCCTTACTCTCAATAACTCTAATCACTCCATTTATTGAAAGCCTGAAACACCAGTCTCAACTTATTATTCTAGATTCCTTTTTGTTAACTGTTTCATGTTTTCATTTTGTCTCCCAAATTTGAGTGAGTTCTCTGTAAGGCCCATACACTGCCTAGCCCCTAGAGGGGGCCAATTATTAATATTGCTAATAATATAATAATAATAATGAGGCAATATAACATAATGGAGTGGCAAAAGTGGAGTCAAGTAGGCCTAAGTTCAAATTCTGGTTCTACCATTTGACTGTGAACACATTACTTACTTTCTCTAAGCCTCAGTTTGGTGGTGAAAATTTAATAAGATATATATTAGTGCACCTAGTACAGGGTTCGGCATATAACAGATGCTCAATAAAGCTTAGCTACCTTCCCTTCCCACTTAATAAGCACTTGTTGATTTGAACTGAGTTAGAGTAATTCTCCTAGGGGACTGCCAATGGCACCATCATATATTCTCTTACCTTCCCCATTACACTCTTGCGTGTGCCTGTGTCATTTCCTTACAAAGGTCCCTTCAGGTTTTCTACTCTGCTGTCCTAAGAAAAAGCCAACTACACAAGTCAGCAGGAGGGCATCTCCACATCTACATTTCACTTTTATCACAGCCATGCCAGCACTCTCTCCGTCCGGGTCTCCCAGTGAGAAAATGATAGAGAAAACCAGGGAAGCAGCCAGAAGAGGAAATGGAGATAAAAAGCTCTGTGGTCCCTCTGTGCCTCCCTCTTGGGAGGAAAGACTTAGGTCTAGTCTCCAACCCCAACTCTTGTGAGGAAAGGAGAAAAAAAACCAAAAAACAAAAAAACCCTTGCCATGTTCCAGAAGAAAAAGCAACCCCTTTTCCTCACCTCTTCACCTCTTCAAGCCCTTCACCAGTCAATTCCACTATCACCTCCCACCCTAACCATCCCCTGGGTCAACTACCTCCTCCATAAAACACAGCCTCTTTTAACTAATTTGTCTTAAACAGACCTCATTCATGCTTTTATCAACTAGAGGTCACAAATTCCCTCAGCCTTCCAAGTTGGAATATCCCTTAAAAAAAAAAAAAGAATTTTTTAAGTTTCCCATCTTCTGCATTAAGGCACATCTCTTTTTATTTGTGTCCCTTTAATGATCCAGAATATTTAATGATACAGAATACCTCGGTCATCATCCTTCCAGCTGGAAAAAGCACCATCACTTCCACCCCAAAACACATACCCACCCCCCCAAAAATTTTTTTAATCCACAAATTGGAGATTTGGGAAAATACAAGAATATTTGGGGCTGCAGAAAATACAAGAATTGTATTATTCTTAAACGAGTTCACCATGCTGCACGGGAACAAGTCCATGTACACCTGGCTCCCACCAGCCTTACTCGGACCAGGTGAAAAAATACCCCCTCGCCCTCTCGCTTTCCAGCCCCCGAATACCCATTTCCATTCCTGATTCGCCCCGGGGCCCATAAAGCAGAACCTTTCTTGTTGGCCTTAATGTCCCTCGGGGGATGTGGGACCCTTTTCACGTCAGCTTTGATGTATCGAGGCAGAAAAGTCTGTTCCCTCCACCCCTCCCTCAGAAAAAAAAAAAAAGACTATTTCTTAAGACTCTTCCCTGTTGGATAAAGTAGCTCCAGCATTTACGTGTTGGGGGGATTTGAGCCAACTGAGGGACTATTTCACCGCAGGCTTCACCTTTCCAGGCTGACCAGTGCCTCCCCCCGCCCTCGACACACACACGCTCGCTGGACCCCCTCTCCTCGCGGCGGGACCCCAGACCCTCCTTTTCGTTGCTCTGACACCTCCCTGGGAGCCGGAGCATCCTCGGAGCGGCCCCGAGCCCCGGGCGGCGCCGGCCGGGCACCTACCAGTCGGTGTGCGGCTCGTCGACGACCAGCAGCACCTTGGCCTTCCTGGCGGCGGCGGGCGCGGGCGCGTCCACCAGCCCGGCCGAGGCTGCCGTTTGCTTCACCGCCTGGGAGAGCGAGCTGAAGAAGCTGCTGCCCACCGACGGCGCCGGGGCCGGCTGCGGCACGGGCTGCGGCGCGGGCGCCGGCCTCCGCTCGGGGCCCGGGGAGGCGACCGGGGGCGCAGACGAGGCCGAGGCCGCGCCCGGGCCGGGGGGCGGCGGCGGCGGCGGCTGCTGGGGCTCCGGCCGCTGCAGGTCAGTCATGTAGCCATTGGGCAGGTTGGCGATGAAGCTGCTGTCGGACAGCCGGCGCCGCAGGAAGTTCATCATCTGGCTTGAAGGGCTGAGGGCGCGCGGGGCGGCGGAGCCGGGAGGCGCGGAGGGCCAGACGGAAGCGGCGGCGGGGGCTGAGGCGGCTGAGGCGGCTGAGGCGGCTGAGGCGGCAGAGGCTAGGTCCGCGGCGCGCAAGCCAAGCACACAGCCGCGGCCAACTGGGCCGGGCGGGCGGGGAGGTGCGAGGCTCAGCGCCAGGGAAAGGGCGGAGCCGGGGGCGGGGGCACAGGTTGCCCCGCCCCGCACCGCAGAGCCGGCGCCGCCCCAGACTCGCAGACTGTGCAGCCCGCTGTGAGCAGCGGGCCTTCGGGGGCTGGGGGCACGCGGTCTGGGGAGGACCAGGCCTCCTGCGACCTGAGCGTGGCTCTCTGGGGAGGGCATGGAAGCTAGTCCTGCTCCCCAAGAATAGGGACAAGAGAGCCCAGAGCCCCTACCACCTTTTTGACTGGGGGAGAAAAGAACCGTGTCCGGGAAACTGTCCCCACTCCCTTTGAAGGAAAGAAAGGTGTCAACCTCCCCACCCTGAGGTGTGAACGAAGCCATTCCCCTCGCGCGCGCGGACATGCGCGCGCGCACACACACACACACCCTATGGTGAGATGAAAAAGAACTATCCCTTCCTCAATGCTGGGAGAGAAAGACATCGCCCCCTACCCTAAAGTGACAAGACAAGACCTAGTGGGGAAGCGAAGGGTCATCTCCTCTACTTTGGGGAGAAAGGGGGTGGGACACAGACCCTCTCCACCTGTCTTGGAAGGATGTGTGGGATGCGCTTTCAGCACCTGAACCTTAGGGATGGCTCACCTCAGAGCACCTACTCCTCTCCCCCATCTCTTGCACAAGAGAGAGGAAACATGTGTAAGTCTGGAGATCCCCCCATGCAGGACCCCTGAGTGGGATATCTAAGGCTCCGCCACCCCTTCTGCGTCCTTGCTTACAGGCATTGGTGCATCCTATGTAGTATCAAGAAGGTCACCTCTTCAAGATCTTTCTGTTTGTTTTTTCCAGTTCATTCATTGGCCAGATCTGACTCGACCTCCATGAAGGCTTTCTGATTACCACCTTCTCATGGGCACTCCCTGAATCTTGTATGCCCCCTGAACCTTTGTTTTCACCTCTCAGGAGATATACTTCTAATCCCTATGTTGAATTGGAGCAGGACTCAGCAGATATACTTTACATTCAGACCACTCTGCGTGATACGTGACCTTGGGCAAATCAGCCCTCTGAGCCTCTTTTCCTGAGCTAGTAAAAGGAGATAACACTTTTCAAAGTTGTTACACAGAGTAAGTGAGAGCATGTATGTAAAGCACCTGGCAAACAGTAGGCATTCTAGTAGTGGTGGCAAGATTCTTATACTTTTTTTTGTGTGTGTGTGTGGTACACGGGCCTCTCACTGTTGCGGCCTCTCCCGTTGTGGAGCACAGGCTCCAGACGCGCAGGCCCAGCGGCCATGGCCCAGCCACTCCGTGGCATGTGGGATCTTCCCGGACCGGGGCACGAACCCATGTCCCCTGCATCGGCAGGCAGACTCTCAACCACTGCACCACCAGGGAAGCCCAAGATTCTTATTCTTATTGGAACTAGTTCTCAGTAAGTATTTATTGGGCTGAATGGAATCACTGAGCAGCTTGTCACTAATATTGGCAGGCAGTTCTTGCTTCCTACATCCCAGCTGGCACTCAGCTTGGGAGCTGGAGATGCACAATCCAGCCCTGAGCCAGAGACCCAGTGATGTCCAAGAGGTCTTCGGTCAACTATAGTTATACAGTGGTCCTCCCATCTCCCATGTGCCAGGCTGGGTTAGAGCTGGATAGACTGACATGAATGGAAAGTGTCCCCTGTTTGCTAGTTCACCGTCTATGTGGACTAGAGGGGGAGAGTAGGGAGGACAGACAAAGAAACAATCACCACAATAAGATGGGCGAGGTGTTTTAGGAGCACCAGAGAGCGAGGGATTCATTCTGCCTGTGAGGCTTAGGGATACATTCTCAGAAGATGTGATATTTGAGATGGGTCTTGAGGCATCTGAAACGGTTTATAATCAGAGAAGAGGGAAAGCAGTCAGACAGAGAAGGCCTGCAGGAATGTTCCTTGATGACTCTTCCAGGAAGCCTCCCCTCAATCCTCCAGGGTGGGCTGTTTCAATGCCTGTGCTTGGTTTCGTCATAGCCCCTGAAGAAATGATAATAAAATATTCTGGTGACTAGAATATAAGCTTTTCAATGATGGGATTGTGTCTCAGTCATCTTTGGACCCCAACACCAAGCACAGTGCCTGATACATAGCAAGGACTCTGCTGTTTAAGAATCCAGCTCTACTCTTACCCAACTCAGTTCTTGTGTTTATTGGAGAATAAAACTGATGTCACTAATAACTTAAGTAAATAAACTCAGTTTAATGTATTAAACTGAGTATTTTTTAGAAAATGAGAGGAATATTTTCCAAAGGCATGAATCTCTACTGATGGGATTTCAGACACTGTATCACTTTAAGTTTTTTAAATGAGTGGGTTGTCTTTTTTGATATATATTTCACTAATTCACCCCTAACCATTAAGCTTGTAGTGCACGTATAATATTTAAAAACCAACCAATTAACAAACATGTTTTGAGTACCTAATACACATGAGGCATCATGCTAGGCACTGGAGGGTAAAGGAGATTCAAGATGAAGAAAATCCAAGTTCTGCCCATAAGAAGACAACTCAGAAACACGTGAACACATAATTAGCAATAGCAGAGCGTCTGTGTGTGACCAGAAAGTGGAGTAGGCAGTGAGGATTAAAGGAGGCAGAGGAAGAAGAGGTCTCTGGGGTAGGAGGAGAGTTCACAGGAGCGGTAGAGCCCAGGCCATGTAAAATGGGTGGAATTCAGAAAACCAGGACAGCATAGAGGAGACAGTCAAGACGGAGGAAATGGCAAGAGCAAAGTCAGGGAAGTTGAATTGGTTAAGTCATAAGAATGTATAGATCTATTCCTTGAAGGCAGAGACCCTCCCTGTATTATCACTATACTCCTTAAGCCTTAGAATAGCACCTGGCATGTAGAATGCACTCAAATATTTGTAAGAGGGGTTCCGAGAGGCTGTACTTGTCTGTGTGTTTATTTTGTTGGTGGCTGTCCAGCTATAGTTTTAGATGGCAAGCACCTCACAGTGAGGAATTCTGTCTGCTGCTTCTCTCACAATGATCTGCAAAGCCTGATGTAACATTCAACACACAGGAAGTATCCCAGTCTTGGGTGGTAGATCAGAACGTTCCCAGAGAACTGCTTACCTATAGATTTCTTCACTGATACAATGGAGGCCCACAAGACCATTAAAAATATTTATCAAATATTCCACTAATTTATAAGTATTTTCTGGTAGGTTTTAATAAGAATATTACTCTTATGGAAGAACAGAATATTTTCTTATGATTGGGCATGGGTGGTTATCAATCAGCTCAATATACTCAGAAGATTTTCGTTAGTTGGCACAAATGTAAATCACAGCCGATTAAAACAATATCCTCCGTGTTCCACTGAGTCCTTGCCAGGAAGTGTCTTTAGCGTGCAAAGACACTGTATTATAAATGGGCTTGGGTTTTCAATGATCTGTAATGAAAATCTTTCCCGTATCCTTACCTGTGGATCTAGGTTCCAGATGCAAGGAGAATATAGCCCTCTTCATCTATCTTATATCCTGCCTTTTCTCTGGAATTGAAGAGGGAGCAGGATTGGGAAATGCTATAAAATATAAAATTCTGGTGCAGTTAGGGCCTTTTCTACCTATCTCCCTCTGAGACCAACCAGCCATTCCCCATCTCCAGGTAGAAGGCATTTCTCCCAGAACAATCAGTGAAGAAGTGGGGACGGGGGATCTCTCCCATCTTTCTTTCTTTTTTTTTTTAACATCTTTATTGGAGTATAATTGCTTTACAATTGTGTCTTAGTTTCTGCTGTATAACAAAATGAATCAGCTGTACATATATATATATCCCCATATCCCCTCCCTCTCACATCTCCCTCCCACCCTCCCTATCCCCCCTGTCTAGGTGGTCACAAAGCGCCGAGCAGATCTCCCTGTGCTAATCATTCAGTGACTGACTAAGCCCTGACGGACTATTCTGATTCTGACTATCAGAATCTCGGAAGTCTCTTCCAGTTCTGGAAGCCTGGGACTCTTTGAGGTCCTTCCTTGTGTAATCTTTATCTTCCCACTGAATTGTAAACACAAGTAAACACCTGGCGACTGCAGATGAAAGAATCCTGCTAAACTCACGAACCAATTTAAATGCTTTACCACGCCCCTCTGATTTCTCTCTTCCCCTTGAGCAACAGTGCAGCAGAGAAGGCTCACAGGGAGCCAGGCTGGGTACAGGTTGGAGGAACAATTGAAGTGCCTTCTGCAGGCAGAGCTCAAACACAGAGCTTAAAGGGAAACCTCGGCACACTGTCTTGGTTCCTCCCAAACAAGGAAGTTTGCTGGAACATGCCACCCTTGGCCCTTGCTCATGCCTCAGGATCAGGGACCCCCTTCAGACCCAGCTGCCCTAAAAAGAAGTAGAAAGAGTTTGGGATTGAGGAACTGTGGGTTCTTGTCCTGGCTCCATCACTCGTTGGCTTTGCAGATTTTCAACAAGTTGCTCGGCTCCCTGGGCCTCTTATGTAAACCGGGGGTATTAGGTCTTCCTCGGGCCTCTCATGAGATAATATGAGAACACTTTGAAGGCGACAAAGCTTTCCTGGAAGAGGCATCATTATTGCTCCCATACTATCTTGTTACCTGCCGTTTGGAGAACCCGGTTGAATTGAGGGTTTGCCATCTCTATTCAGGTGGGCCTTGGTGACCGTCAGCCCTGGGGATGCCCTCCTCCTCCACTCTGCACAGAAGACGACTATGTCCCGAACTCTGAATTCTCCGAATATGGCACATCAGCTGGGCCACTTTGCTATACTTACGAATCACACAAATGTAAGTTCAACTCCTAAATCTGCCTAGTGGTAACTGTGTCACTCTGAACACGTCACGTTCAGCCTCAGTTTCCTGACCTGTAAAAGAATGGCGATAATTATCATGAACGACCTGGAAGGACTATTTCAAGGGCCAAATAAGATCAAGTATATGAGTGTATTTTATCAGCCATAAAGCACTGTGCAAACGTTAGCTATTAATATTTCTGATGCCAGGGGAATCACAG